CCTTGTTGTAGAGCATGCTCGAAAATGTACGAAAATATATTTTCCTATTCAAGAAATTATTTTTGTGAGCCTTAAAAAATGTACACGTTAATGACAAACTTCGAACCCATGTTTTCAGGTGTTCTCTAAACTACCATAGACGTCCTTTCTTTTGTCCTATTCTCCACCTTGAGATATTCCTAATACAATACTTGATCAATATCGCTGTCACACCGTTACGAAAAGATCTCATTTTAAAATTTTCATGAGTTCTTTACGAAATACCAGTGAATAAACTAGTGGACTATTACTAAATTTTTACGGTGATTCTGATGCACTACTTTTTTCTGAAAAATGTTTCATCTGGAGGAAGATGAACGTAACGGTGTGACAAAAACTTGATTTTTTTATGCTATTTTTAGTTTATATAGTTGAGCAATAATTTCGATATTACAGGCATTAGCTAACAATTAAATAGAACTTAAACAGAATTTTATCCTTTGGTTTACATATCTAGCGAGAAATCTTTCTAAAAGTCGTATTATTTGGTTTATTATCCGAAATTTCTGGCTATGATTAACTGCCTAACCACTCTTGAGTTCGGACTTTATGCATAATATAGATTCCATTGACGTATGAATGCGTCCAAAATACTAAAGGTCTTGAGGTCTTCTGTTGAAAATTATAGACAATGCGAGCGTTTTTCGGAATTTGATATCTTTGGAAAAGAATACTTTTTATACTAAAATTTTCAAGATATTTTATTCACAAATAGATCTGTTCGTAGACATAATCTCAACTCAAAATGCCGTAATTCGATTTGATACTATATATCATGCCTTGGGCTAAAATTGCAATAAAACGTCAATAATTCTCGACAGAAGATCTCAAAACCTTTATTATTTTGAATGTTTTCATACGTCAATGTGATCTACATTATGTACAGAGTTCGAAATTGAAGAGACAGCGCAATTCAAAATGTACCTTTGTCAGTCTGTTTCTCACCTATGGTGGTAGTACACTTTACTGCAACAGAAAACTTGGAACACTACAGAGATCGAAAAACTGTCTCTAGATACTGAAGCGGTTTTTTTAGTAGTTAGAGTCGCAGAAACATTGGTTTAGAAGTTAAAACAATCGATTTAGACGAAGCTAGACTCAATAAAAAAGATGATATTAATTTACGAAAAAACGGTGTCATACCGTTACATTTGTTTTCTGTCTTTTTTATTTGAAGAAAAGAAGTTAGAACAAATTTTTTTTCTACCATTGTAAAAGCTTATGAAAAGCTCTACAAAATTCGTCCTTGCGGTATTTTATTTAGATGGGAACTTTCGCAGGAAATCACGGCTTAAAGATGAACACTGCAAATATAAGATCCTTTTATGTAACATCATTACGCGATCAAAAAATCTTTCCAGAGACTCGAGAGCTCGATAGAAGCTACTCATTTTTATAGCATAAATAAAGCATGATGAGCTGCATTGCATGGCACTTGAACGAATTTTCTAGCTCCAGTAGTTCTCGAAATAATTGAAAAATAGTATGTCAAAAACGTAACACCGTTACGCTTGGACAAGTCGTTATATGCTATTGATGAGATTAGTAAAAGTCTAAACAAGTTCACTACCAGAAATCTTTGACGTTGATTTATAACTATTTTACTAAATTTCCGATACCTTCATCAAAAAATTTTAAAAAAAGAACTAGAGTTGAACCTGATGTTTTTTCTACACATACATTTAATAGTTTTTAAAATACTCTGATAGATTCAACCGAAAAAAAAACGTAGTACCATTTTAATTCTTCATTATTTTAGTCTACAATGTCTAGACTTAGTCTGAGAGTGATACCGTAAACAATCAAAATGATTACGTCATTATATTTGAACTACCCATACATCGAATATCTTAAATAATAATAGCCACTATCGCTGCTGTCGTTGTCATTATGTAACTTATTAAAACTCGATATCATAATCAACGCTTTTATTTCAAGTAAAATCGATTGAACTACACAACAGCTTTATCTATATATTTGTATCGATTCCATTATCGTCGTTTCTACCTACTAAATATAAAACATAATAAGTCTCGTTATGACTTCCAGTATGCTATCACGTCTTCGTTAACATATCATGATACTAACTAATAACTATTTGTCGTCTTCTATCAATATCGTTCTCGTTAATTAATTTATTGTTTCATTATTCTTTGTATCTGACTCATTGGTATCAACTTTTAATAGTCGAACAATATGATTTGCTGAGCATATTTTATAGAACAGATATGTAAAAGATTTAGTTTGACTCAGTGTTTTTCCTCAATTTTCAGAAAGATTTGGTCATAATCAGTCTTGATTCTGGCAAAATCAAGATAATGATCAGTTCGATAACCAAAAATAACATCACAAAGTTTGTGATTTCTGAGACATCCTAAAGTTTACAGGGTATAGGAATCTTTTATTCTTTATAACCACTGGCATCGGCTCGAAATGATAATACACCTTGTCTATGTAGATATGTTAGGTTGTATGTACATATGCGCATGAAGAAACTGTAGCAATACAGTAATCCTATTCACATAAATAAATACAGATTTAA